CGGATTCATCCCACGATTCTGAGGTTTTATCATCAACGCCATAGAAAACAAGATTTTTCCGGCGACTTCTGTTTTCGAGGTCATTTGTTTTCTTTTGCAGATCTTTCACCTGTTGCATGAGTTGCCGTATTATAGCTGCCTGCTCAGTTACAATCTTGCTGAGGTCCCTTATCTGGTTCTGAGTTTGGCTAAGATTATCTTTTACTTCCATCAGTATGTTCTCATTTTTTTCGAACCTGGATTCAATGCCGTTTAATTTTGAAATTAAAGTATCCTGCCCACTCTGCAAACATTTCAGCACTTCCATCTCTGGTGTCTTAGCAGGACCTGGGTTCAGTTCAACATCTCCCGCAAGTATTAAGAACAAAATCAAATACAGCATGCACTCTGTTAGAAAATAATCGCAATCTCTTCAGACGCGACGTATGCATCGTGCATCCGTGGTTTTTGTTACGAACAGTTAGCAACGTGGGAGGAGCCGGCAATGCATATACAAGTCTCCGCGATTGAGATGGGTAGTAATGACTAACCTGCACCAGCAACAGTTGCATCAGCGACATGTCGGCAAGTGTGCCGGCTCCAAATCCCACGAAGCCATCGTGCTGAGTGCCTTATACGCCTGATCGGCACCACGTGAGTTCTGTTGGCCCGAATTCATTGGTTGATCCTTGCTGATCCATCCGTGGCTCGGGCCACACGTGCCTCTGACGACAGATGATGACCCATGCACAACGTTGTGGACGATAGTCGAGATACTGTAGATGCCGACCAAGCGCTCGTGTAGCAGCCGGTTTGGTGACGTTCCGTCGCCCTGCGTTGCTGGATCGGGCATCCAGCGTGTGTCGAACTAGGCAGGTTTTTTTTCATCCGCACAGTCCGGTGATCACGCTGCCGTATACGGTAAACAGCACGGGTGACTGGTGACGTTGAGCCACTCGCGCTACCGGTCGTTTCTTCGGTCATTTTGACCGATGATACCGGTTTTGTGCCAGCGAACATGGCTTACGATTGTTTCATTGCAAAAACTAATACCTAATCCAATAAACTGGTGCTCCAGTATGTCACTTATTCAAAACAGTGCCGGCTTACTGTACGAGTGCGATCGGGAACCACGATGCTTAGGCATTTCACAGGTAAACATGCGGCCTTGCAGGCCATCTCGCCCAGTCGGCTTACTTTGCTTCATCTTCATAGCGATGTTGTAGAGAAAACTGCTTGCGTTTTTCGACGAAGGCATCAGACAAGAAATATCAATCTCGTTGCTGAAGTTTGAGCGGCCGAGACGGGCTTTCGCTTGATCGCAGACAGTGGCGGCGTGTGCCGAACATGCTGCGCAACTGACACAAGCTACTCGCACGTGTCAGTTTCACTCGCTAAAGTATAGTTGTATTTAGCGTGTTATCGTAACCCCCCCCCCCCCCCCCCCCGAAAAAAAAAAAAAAAAAAACGAAGGCACTCGCCTGTTGCGTCTCAGTGTTACCCACCACGGAAGCATGTTACGCTAACGCTCCTGAGTTCGGTGGCACGGGCTGCATTGCCGGCCACATCGGTGGAATTTCGATAAGGCTAAACGCAAAAGAACAACCACGTGCTAAAATTTAAGAGCACTTCAAAGAATGCCAAGTGGTTGAAAGGAATCCGGAAGTACTTAATACAGCGGGTCATCGCTCATCATATCGTGGTTTTTATAGCAATCAGCTGACTTCAAGTGCAGGCTGTTAATCACATTGCTATTGTGATAAGTTTTAAGATGTGCAGTTTGACAGGACATGGCTTTTTCCTTCGCCAGCCGAAAAAAGAAAAAACTGAGCACGCTTATGACGCTCTTCACGGTGCGATTTGAGCATTGCAGCCCGCTGCACACGTGATTGCTCTTGTATTATTTGACCATTAATGAAGCTGAAAGGGTCCACAACATTGCACCCACAAAAGCTATCGTTCTCCCGCTACCGCACGCGCAAGAACTTGTGCGACAAAACGGTGACGAAGCTTCGGCTGGGACGTTGTCGCCAGGCATGTTTTCCTCATATCACCGCATCACAGCTTCCGCCGATGGCGACGTCACCGTAGCTGAAAGTTGCGAATACGATGGGGGTGATTTAACGTGCCCTGGTACACGCCGCGCGCTTGCGACCTCCGGCGTCATCGTGGCTCTGGCCGACTGGGCTCGCCCTACGTCACCTCCTGCCGCCGACAACCTTCCACCTCCGACGACAGTGCAGCTCTGACCTACTGGACTTGCTCTACGCCATCCACCGACGCCGAAAGGAGCTCTCGCAGGTGCGCCCCGTCCTCGGACTCCAGTGACCGTGCTTCATCTTTCCTATCTCTTCTATCCCCTCATCTTGTCGTCGCTCGCCCTGGCTCACCACCTCACGTCTCTTCTTCTCTTCTCCTTCTTCGGCTTTCCTACATCTTTACTCCTATCCTTTTTATCCCTCCTCACCCCCGTCCCTCGTGAGCTACTATGGCGGTGTCGCTCACTGAAGCAGACAATAACGGGGCTCACTTTTCTCTTCTTTTCCCTTTTTAAGAGTCACTTCGTACACGTCGCGCGCGCTGAAACGTATGGCAAACGCCGGGCGGCACACCCCCTGTCTTTGCCCAATGTGCGCCGTGTTGTAGGTACTTTGAAACGCGCAAGACCAGCGGAGATTTAAACTGCGATGCCAGCGACTATTCCCCGCTACGGTTTCAGCGATGTGGTGTGCGCCGTTGGATACTTTCGCGAGACTGTGTTGTCGAAAGGATGGATGCTGTCCGACGTGAAGTACGTCTGTGACGCGGAATAAACGGTGTGACCTTTCGACTTAGTGCCAGGCATTGTACCACGTATACTTAACGGTAGTGTTCATACAGCGCTTGCGCAGCTCCACGCAGTGTGCAGGTTGCTTGTTATGCGCCCGCTTTGAAGTAAAAAAAAAAAAAAAGTATTAGCAGTTTCTCAGGCAGCACTGAGGTAGCGTTCAGTCCAGTGACAGCTGTTTTGAGTGAAAACATCACATTTACGTAGTTGGTGGTCACAGCTCTTGCACTATATGTTACAGAAGCTGTTTCGCTACCCGCTTCCACTTATGGTGTGTTCAGTGGCTAGCGCGAACGCACAAAATGCTCGTATCGCAGTTTTTAAAACGTTTTGAAGCTGATTGTGAATCGCGAAATGGGTGTCCAAGGCAACTTTCACAAAAAGGCCAGCGTAAAGCGGAGATTGTGGTTTTAGCGGAAATGCAAACATGTCGCAGCGGTCATGCTTCAACGAAGTCGACTCGTCGCCGTCTGCGAACCATTCGCAAGCTTTGCGGTCGGCCGTCGTTTAGACCTGATACTTCAAAGATGCCTTTGAGCAACCTGGTGGTAATTGACTTCGTGGTGGTTTCTTGGTTGGCATGCAGTACGTAGTCATTAATGCAATATACGTAGATCATCGCGGTTTTTGTGGCAGTCATCATCTTGTAACCGGTTTGGAACTGTGCACGTGACAGCCAGATATAATACCGTACTTACTCGAATAGGACGCGAGGCAGTTTTCTTTTTCTCAGATTTCAGCTGCTCAAGTCGTCCCTCGTGTACCGAGTATTGATATTTTATTTTGTTTCTTAGACGTGATGAAATTTCACCCCTCGCGTTACAGTCATGGTCGCATTACAATCGAATAAATACCATTTGTGTAATATACGGTGCAGTGCTTACGCAATATAAGTTTTCATGTGCTTTTTTGAATTTTTTTTGCAAAGCAAGCCTTATTTAAAAGACATGCGATACTTTCCAGAGTTCCAAACCGTGTTGCATTGGAGGAAATCGACGCCGGAGGGAGTCAACTACGCATGCTTTTGATTAGCTTTTTTGTTAATAAAAACTTCTTCTGGCTGTGGCATTCGTGAATACAATAACAACGCTGGTCTTGATGCTTATTTTTCCTCGTCCGATCATCGCGCACGGCAGCCTGGTTCACGTTATAGTATTTGTTTGTACGCCCGAATTTTTTTGGCCGCCCTCGATAGCGCGGCGCTCCGTGTGCTGGTGGTCCATGCTATACGAGCAGAACTTGATAATTTAGCTTCTTTGTCATTTAGAAATTTGTAGACATAACACCGAAACAGCAATATAACGCTGGTCAACAAAAGAACGTCGCTCGCTTGGGACGTGTTGCGCACGTGGCCGTTTGCTCAAGAGAATAAGGTTTAGCTGCGCGGGGTGAGCGGCGGTGGTTTCGAGCTCGCCTCCCCTCGTCATGGTTTCGCGCCGCTTGAACGCGCTCATTTTCTCAGCTCATAATAAACCGATTGAAAGCATTCTGGTGCCATCATGTTCGTCTTAGAACACACAACAACTGCGAGCGTCCAACTAGAATTTCTTACAGAGCTTGGCACGGTAGGAGCCTTTTAAACTTTTCTCTATTCGTAACGCCATCTGTCGAACACGCCACGAATAATGAAACAGTGTTGGAAAATTTGTCCCTTCCAGACGAGCGGAGTCGGCGCTCCTGTCTTATGTTACTCCGTGGTGCAGGCGTACGTTACCTTATCATTTAGGAGCGTACACCGCGCCGTTTTTCTCCTTAGACAGACTCGGTCGAGCGTGCGCAGCAGCTTCGCGGATGCAGCTTGCCATGGGAACTGGCTCTCAGGGTGCGACCCTGCTGCGAACGCTCAACTAAACCCTTTATTGACGACGCGCGAATCGAGACTGGTGTTTAGAGTATGCTTGTTGATGTCACCCCTGTGCGGCATTCACGACTCGCTGTGTCCAGGTATACGTTAAAACTTGAGCTACCACAACGCCTAAATCATGATCATGGGTGGTATAGTTGCGATCGAGATGTGCCACTATGCGTCAACATGCAAGTGTGCAAGTCAAGCGGTGCTAATGCTTACAATACACCGGTAGACGTTACAAATGTGCGCATAAATTATTCTTCCTCAATATGAACATGTCGTCTAGAGAATACTCGACAGATCGTTGCATCGGGTGGATGTGACACCAGGCTTTGTGATTCGCAGGACTCAGCGCTGGGCACGCCGGTAACGCTGCGAGTGGACAACAATGGATTCTTCCTTTACTGGACGGATCAAAACAAGGTTAGTAGGTCTCGCGCCTTTTGGCCAACTTCTGAACTAGGCGTTTTTTGACACTTCATGAACAGCACACGGGTTTGAGCCTTTAAGGGAGTTTTGGGCTTCAAGGACCCCTAACGCCAAATTTGGAAACTCGAGGTGCTTCTGTTGTTTGAGAGTCTGGCTGATTATAAGTGATGAGCGTTGCCTATGAAATATTTTCATTTAGTTTGGAAGAAAGGGTGCGTGCTAGTGATACTCAGGTGCAATCGGCATTTACTGTTGTTTGACGTGGTGTTTCACTCGTTCCTCTGAAACAGGAGCGATAGCTCGTTCGTCGTTCCTTCCCAATGTTGGAATGAGTTCCCGTTACAGGTTCCCAAAAAGCAAAAGGAACTCGATACAGTTACACTTAGAAAGTTGGAAAGTGTCGTTAAACTAATGTTACATTTGAATTTTTGATCAAAACATAGTGCTGAATATTCTTGAGAACAAATAAAGCAAGAAATCTGTGACACATTTTGCGCTACGTATATTTTACGAATTTAACATCGGCAGTGGCAGGTTATATGTAGATAGAAGGAATGTAAAGAAACGATCCTATATAGACGAACGTTTTAAAGGTCACCGGCCATACTACAAATGTACTACAAACTGCTACTTTATTGCTCGTCTATTACAAGTGCAACACATATGGCACGTTCTACATCAGCTGTCGAATGCGCAGTAAGAATACTGCACTTCATATTCATGCCAAGCTTCAACACCCATTATCAAGCACTTAGACAAAGTCTGGAGCTGGGTACGTTTTCGATGGCCAAACCGACACGTACACAGTGGACTCGTACCTAATTTTGCAAAAGTAAGAAATGTAGCTTAGTGGGCACTTCGCAACTGCCTTTGCAGTAGGCATTCTAAAATAGTTTGAACCGGTGAGTGTCGCGCGTGCTAACATTCGTTTCTTTGCGGCATAGTTGAAGCATCCATCGAAAACCGAAGTTACGTTAGCAACTTATGAGGCGACACACATGGAACCCCATTGCGCTATCGAGTTCGACTCTTGAAGGCGAATCTCAAGCGTCATCCAAGTTTTCTTGGATGGGGATAGCAATCCTCTAACATGCACCAATATAAATAGGCCTCGTACACAGAAAAACGCAACAAATTGAACAATACGTAGGTGCTCATTGAATATTCCAGTGTGAGTATATCAAATAATGTCCAAGATGCAAGTCCCTCTTTCGCGTTTAGCAACGTATTCATTTTGATATTTCTATACGACGGACAAGATTTGATTTCTCGTGAGCATTTCGTTGGCAGTGTTGAAGAGTCATTTCATAGAGCGCTTCAGGGTTCTGCCATGTCGTACACAATTAAAAACAAAGTCAATCGATGTAGTAGGGGTTGTTACGTTTGACCCGGCAGTTCGTCTTAGCAGACGCCATTGTGTGTGAGCCGGCCTGCAAGAATGCTTTCACCCCCATATAGGTGCCTGGCTGGAAGAAAAAAAGCACGACGCTGTCCTGCAGGTGGGCCAGAGAGTTCGCTGTGGTCGGGTTACTATGAACTCGACGGCAGCATGTTAGTTTGCGTGCCCAGTATTGTTAGTTTGCGGGCCGCGAAACGGCACTTGATGTTGAGCTGGAGGCCGGCAGAGGTGAGACAGGACAGTGCCTCACGCAGGCGAACAAGGTGAGTCGGAAAATCTTACGAAAACATGACGATGTTGTCAAGATAACAAAGACTTGTTGTACACTTGTAGTTACGTAGGATGGTGTCCATCGTGCGCTTGAAAGTAGTGGGCGCGTTGCGGAGCCAAAAGTGCATTACGGTAAATTCATATAAGCCATCGGGCGTTACAAAAGCTGTCTTATCGCAGTCACCTTCTGCCACCGGCACTTGTCAATAGCCAAAGCGAAGAAATAAAAATGAGTAGTACTCCGCGCCTTGCAGGCAGTCGAGTGCGTCATCTAAGCGGGACAGTGGATAGACGGCCTTGCGAGTGATCTTATTCAGCCGGCGGTAATCCGCATAGAAGCGTATTGTGCACTAGGATGACCGGAGACGCCCAAGGGTTCCGGGACGGCCGAATGATGCCGCGCTGCAGCAGTTCATCGGCTTGCTCATTATGGACCTGCCGCTGGGCTTCCGACACATGGTATGATGGCTGGCGTAATGAAGGATGCGAGCCTTTGTGGACGCTGTGACCGACGTTCGCCATACGCCTCAAGCATGGCTGGTCGCAATCGAATGACGAGCGAGAATTCTGGACTAGCGCGAGGACTTGCGTGCGATACGGATGCAGCAGATCGGCATCCATGGCTGATTCAAGGATGCCTGGCGAAGACGAAGTTCATAATGACGAAGATGACGTGTGCTGCACGGGAGAAGTTAGGGCTCCGAGCTCAAAACAGTGCGTGGGATCTGACGTCTCTATGGTGTGGAGCGGATCAACAGGATGACTAGAACTAAGATTCTCCACGCAGCAAGACCACAGGGCGTTTGAACGGATTGTACACAAGCATAGTTGGTAATCCGGATGTGGTATTGAGGATGGCAAAACGAAGACGCAAAGCCCTTCGACGCAGAAAAATAGGCGACGGTGCAAAAAGGAAAGTGACATACAAAGTAGTTGAGCAAGACATGGGCGCAAGCACTGACATGACTGGTGGCATGTCCATGTGGGATAGGACGCTGAGCTTTTGCTCTGTACCCTTCGTAGGACAAGGCAATGCGTCATCCGAGAACAGGAAGATCGTCACTTCGCCCCGGGCACAGTCGCTGATGGCACGATTCTGAGACAATAAATCCCAGCTGAAGATGATGTCATGTGAACATGAAGATAGCACGAGAAATTCGACGACATAAAGGACGCCGTTAATAACCACCCTGGCGGTATGTGCAGCAACCGGCGCTATGGGCGGCGTATACTTGCGGTGTGAAGTATCATGCCGGAGCACGACGTCGTGACCTAACGCAGTTTACGGCAAAAGTTTTGACATATGACTGATGTCGCAGCCCCTGTGTCGATAAATGCAAATGGGGGTAGTTGCTTCAGCCATAACGTCGAGTAAATTGCGTGGGGACTGTGCAAGCCATGCAGAAGTCGCGATACTGGCAGTTTGTGCCTGCAGAACCGCAGCAGCTAGGTTCCCTCGCTATAGGGGAGTGCCGACGAGGTAAGGCTGAGTGGCGGCGGGGTGAAGATAAGCGGGGGTCGCGAAACCTTCGCGGAGGTAGCGAAAAGGCTCAGCTGTGCCGCGTAGCATGTTTAGTAGCTTCTTGTGGGTTGCCACCGTAGCCAGGCGCTGCAGAAGATTGATGACCAGGTGGTATGAGACAGTTGCAGAAGCGAGCCACATCTCCACTGAAACCACAGGCGAAGCATATGGGCCGGTTGTCTTGTGTACGCTGGGGATTCCGGACATACTGGTTTCGAAATGCTGGCGATGCTTAAGGCCGGGCTGTTGGCGGGTGCATTGAGGCAGGTAAGGCGAATGTTGGTGGCGGTGTCAGTATTGGGGGTTTAGCCGCGATGGTAGCATAGGTTAAAGGTGCAGCCACATATGTACACGGTTGGGCCAGAGATTCCGACTCGTCGAGTTGATTGCGGCGAGCCCTTCTATTGGGGGCAGGAAACGATGCGTCAGGCTGTACTGCCTCGTCGGTAAGAGGGAGCATATGCAGTTGGCACGCCATCCTCTGCAGATTGAAGTCTTTGATTGGCAGCGTCGTAGCGGGCGATGAATTAGAGGCAATTGTGAGGCTCGAGAGTGACGCGGTAGATGCAACAGCGCTGCGTGCAAGCACCCTTTGTCGACTCAGCTCGTCAGAGCTCTGGCAAAGTAGGACGCGACTGAAGCATGGTTCCGCGCAAGAAGCATGCGGAATGCCTCGATGCGTTTGACGATATTCTTCACTTTTTTCTCTTCACTCGTGGATGCGTTGACCCAGGAGCAAATATTTATGTCTATACAGATCGTCTACGTCTCACCGGGCTGTTGCGCAAGCCGGCGTATAAGCGTTCCTCCGCCCGATTTTTCGTGAAAGTTGGATCGCCCAAGACTCCTGCTGTCTTGAAGTTGGACACGCTCGTGGTCTCGAAACCAGATGTTGGCGACGTCAGCAATGTAGAAGGCGACGATGCGTAGTTTTGCCGGGTCATCTCACTCGTTGGTTTCACTGAAGCGCTGGTAGGTTGAATGTCAAGCTTCCACGTCAGCCTCACTGGTACCGCTGAAAATAGGAGGGTCGCGGTACCGCTGGACGGCGCCGCCGTCGCCGCCGCAAGTAGCAGCACCGGTGGTACCGGACTGGTTGTTGGCAGCGTCGGTCAGTGCGGCGGTGGAAGCTGGTGGCAGCGGTCAGTTTCGAAGTTACACGGTGAGGTCAGGGATTGCCATAAAGAAGTTGTGCCATAAACCTAACCCCTTTGTCAAAAAAAAAAAGGGGGGGGGGCCTAGTGATTCAAAAATTTATTGACCTCGTTCTAACCCGTTCAGAACGCTGCTTAAGCGTCTTTTGCCGCAGTTCACTGTGGATCTGCGAAAAAGCGTTTTAAGATTTGGAAGGGGCTTCTGGCAGTAGTGCCTAGACATAACACAGTTTTATCAATTACTCATGTGCGCATACGCCGCATATTTTTTAATATGATGGCTGATGTATAGATATGTTACTGGAAATTATTTGGAGTACTGTATTGCATTCGTGCAGCACTAAAAAAACAAACATATGCGCCAATTTGTTTTGTTGTTTCTTGTCACCCTTGCCCCTTCTTAGTTTTACAAATATCTCGAATAACAAGGTCACCATCTTGGCAGATCCACATTTGAATCCTCGGAGTCTGTCATCGGAGTCTGTCAAGCGATTACACATGCGTGGCAAATTCTAATGTGGGCTCCGTCACTGTTTGCCTAGTGGAGTGCTTAAAATACTTCTTTTATTAAAATAGCAGTGCTCACATTCCCTCTACATGATTTAGGAGATGTTGAATGGTTTGCCCATTTTATTCCAAATGTAAGCTT